TGAGGCCTCATATCTCGCTCATTTTTCAATGGATTTTGTTCAAATTTTCAGATATTATAGACGGTAATAAACTCTATCAGAATGTTGTCAATGATTTCAAAAAGTCACTTCCGGTTTTGAGTTATTTCCCTTTAAACGAAAAATTATAGGCTTCCATTTCCAGACAAAGGCTCAGAGACCACTTCAGCTGGAGCAGAAATTTTACTGTTTTTTGATAACAGAAGGATTGAAGTTGTGTACAACGGTTTTTGTTTTTCGATTTCTCTATTCAAAATGGTGAAATACAGGGTTAAAAAAATAAAACGCCTAAAAGAGCGAAAATTTACACATGTTTTCCTTTTTATCTTGAGAACTAAAAATATTTTGTTAAGACATGTTGAACAAAAGTTGTGCATAATTGCAAGGGCTTTCATTTAATACTATAGAAAAGGGGCTGGCCCTTAAAATAAGGGATCTCTGGAGCTTGAAAGTTTTTGCTTTATAACTCAAAAACGGTAAATATCTCGATCTAGATATATCGAGCAAAATTGTTCTTTAACACCCTTTTGATCTGATAGGAATGTTTATTTGTTCGAATATACCGGGGTTATTGCATAATATGCAGTCGAAAGCAGGTCACGTAAACATGTAGCGTTTTCATTCTGCAAGGAAATCTGACCTCAACATGTGTATAACTTGCTGTAAATAATTATACCCTACGGTATTTTATGATGATTTTCTTCAAAATAAGGTTTTAAACGTGTTTTATGATTAACTATTAAATCATGTATTATAACTACTTTTTCTATTTTTCTTTATAAAATTTAATTAGTTCTATAGTGAACACGTCTTTAAAAGCGGAAGATATAAAATCTACCTTTCTACGTTTATCATTGTAACAAACTATATAATTAATCTTAAACATTATACATTGAATAATTCACGATCATTAGTTGTATACATATTACGATCCCATTGTTCAGCGAGATGTTTTACAGTTATGTAATCAAAGCCGCAAATCCCACGCTGTCGATCTACATGTAGGTCACGAGTGTACCAGGCACCTGTGGACATAAACAAAGCAAGTGTTTGTGATTTTATTAGACCATTGTGTAGAAAGACCTAACAATAAATAGAAAACTGTGTTTTTAATTACATCGCGTTTCAATAAGATTATTTTGCCCATCTTTCATATTTAATCGTAATTCCAAACACTGGTGCATAAAATCATTTTGAACTGTGTTCGCTTTCTTTGGCCTGTTCTCGCAAAATAAACAAAACAAGTGTTTGTGATTGTATTAGACCATTGTGTAGAAAGACTTCACAATTAATAGAAAACTGTGTTTTTACTTACATCGCGATTCAATAAGATTATTTAACCTATCTTTCATATTTAATCGTAATTCCAAACACTGGTGCATAAAATCATTTTGAACTGTGTTCGCTTTCTTTGGCCTGTTCTCGCAAAATAAAACAAAACTCTATTCTGTGTTAATGTATTTTATTTCAATTGTAATTGAGAAGGGGCTTCGGCAAATAATTATAATTAGTGATGGATAGTGATAGGTAATATTTTACATGTACGTTTTATTTTGACCATGATCACTCTTTTGTTTCTCAATTTACCGAGGTATCATTTTTTTAAAGATTAAATAAACATTGAACATAAAAAGTAATTTACAATATACTATTGTTCAGGTAATTGTAATACCGATATAGCAAACAGGTTATATCCAGCTTTGTCACTTTGTGTCTAAAGTTGTGTTGCCCGGTCCTCGTTTACAAGCACGTGGTTGCAGAGAACAGTGGGCATGTATGAAAATCCTTTGTGTACTCCGATAGTTACAAATGGAAAATTGGGTTTAAAATATGTCGTTTCTTTCATATCATTTCATTTCACTCTATTTCAGCTTGTTTAAATCAATCGTAATCGCTTGTACATTTAGTCTTTGTAAGTTTTATGTATTTTGATAGCCGAATAAACACTAGCTTGGTTTGCAATCCCCCCCCCCTGTTTTTATCGAGGTGGATATTGTTTTATGAATATTAAACCTACATGTACGCATGCATTGTAGTTGTAAGTTGAGGTGACGTTTCTAATTCACGGGAAAACATCCAACGTTAAATTAAGCACTTTTGAGTATGCAGTTATTTGCTACTAAACTTTAAGATGTTATTGAACAAAAATAATATACTTTTTCGCTGAATAAACAGAATATCTCAACATTGCACGTTTTGACAGTTCAGTCGATGCAAGTATAAATATACATGAATGCACTTTGCCTAGAATAACGGCCAAAATATATACACAACTTTTTTCAGTTATTTCCCTTAGTAAAATTTCATCCCGATAGGGGTCGCAGAAAGCAGCCGCCATTGCATCCGTGACGCTGCATTTATAAACAAACTCCGTAGCAACAACACACCGGTGAAACTACGAACTGTTCAACCGTAAATATTGGCGCAGAAACAACATTTAATATATGAAAATCTTGTAAATTCTTTCGTTTGCCTTAAATATGAACCAATATCAATGTGAAAATTGTAAAGATCGAATTATTTCCTCGCCAAAAGATGTCAAACCACAAGAATGGAAGGACGATATACGGGAGTGGCCCCAAGTTGAGTATGGCGATATTTACAATTATTTAATTTTGAGTAAGGCGTGTGATGGCCAAGGGATGAAAAACTACAAATCTTTGGACAGTTTCAATTATTTTAAAAGTGGTTCCGTGGGGAAAATTCTACATTTTGTTATCAACAAAACAACAGTTGTTATAAAATCTGAAGTACGCCCCTCACAAAAAGTCAACTCGGAGTTTCATAATGCATGGATTATATGTGATATGGTTGGCACGATTTTTAGTGCTGGTTGTTCGTGTATGGCAGGGAACAGTAAAACGTGTAGTCATGTCGGTGCTGTGCTATGGAAAATTGAATATGCTGTGAGGTCAGGACTAACTGGCAAATCCTGTACCGATGAACAAATGCAATGGAACAAGGGTTCAACGAGAAACCTGGAACCAGGTATCCTTGAGGAGATGGATTTTAAAAAACCTAGATACAGCAATAGTGACGTTAACAATAATGCTGAAAAACCACAAAACACAAAATCAATATTTCCCATGTTTGTATCCCATCAATCCTTTAAATATTTTGTACAAAATAGTGAACTTCAGGAATTGTTCTCAGTAGAGAATTCTCTTTTAAAAAAATCTGTGCAAGCTAAAGTGGATACTCTTCAATTCAATCCTTCATCTGAGCCTCATACTGAACACTCTGCAGAACTAACATGTAAAAAGTGTTGCCAATTTTTTAACAAGTATATAAAACTTACTGAATCTCAAATCAAGTTCTTATCTCATACAACTATTTCACAAAGTCAATCAGAACTGTGGCATAACAGTAGAAAAATTAGAATAACAGGCAGCACTGCTCACAAGGTTCCAATCCGTGACACTACAAATAGTGATAACTTCATTAGAGAGCATTTATATCCTTCCTTTAAAGGCAATAAATTCACAAAACATGGACAGATTGGTGAAAAGCTTGCAAAACAACAACTGCGTTTGGCTGGAATACAAATAGAAGATGCAGGGACCATCGTTTCAGGTGAAGATCCCTGGCTCAGTGTTTCCCCCGACGGAATAATAACTGATGATAATGGCACACAATGTCTTTTAGAAGTAAAATGCCCAATACTACAAAATGACCAGACCCTTGACAGTTTATTTACAGCTGGTAAATATGATGTTGTAAAATCATTGCAAAATGATTCTTTGTCCCTAAAGCAGAGCAGTTCACGAGGATATTATCTTCAGATACAATTGACTTTGCATGTTACACATCTAGAATTGTGCAAACTTGTTATATGGACAGCTAATGAATACAAGATCATTAATGTTCAACATAACCAACAGTTCTGTCAATCATCAATTTCAAGGTTATGTTTATTTTACTTCAACAAACTTTTACCCAGAGTAGTTGATGACTTTGAATCTGGCAGATTAAAGATTAGTAGAAAATATGAAAAATTTTCAAACTGATGCAAATAAAACTTGTTTCTAACATAAAAATCAAATATCTTTTCATTCTGGGGTAATCATTTATTACAAAATATAATATGTACACATTTTTTCAAAAGTTTGGTGCGCAGCGACATCAAAAAATCAATGTCTGATAAAAAAGTAAATTCAAATAGTTAGTAGAAGTGTGGAGGTCAAGAAGCTTAAACAGTATTTGTTGACCGACATGCAAAGACTTAAGTGTGCATGAATGTACCGGTACTTAACTTCACATTAATGGAGTTTCAATGTTTTTTTTTTAAATGAACAAAAGAAATTCGTTTTTTTTCTGTATAAAAAATACTTGTACTGTGATCAAAATTGAATTAACATATTAAAATTTTGGCAAACTATTGATTGGAAACTAAGTGAATTTAGATTACTTGTCAGACATAAAACTTTTGTACTCACTCCCATGTTATGCTCAATAATTTAAGAAATCAGCCAGAATGGTTTTTACCTTAATACAAATGATGTGCCCAAGCACAGTATCTTTTTTAACAAATATCAGTGCAAATTACATTGACAAATATTATAATAATGTGAAAAAATTATGTTATTATAAAATATCCTACTGCAACCTGCTGATGCAAAGATATTAAAAACAAAATTGACAGGTATAAACTGATTGCAGTAGTGTATAGCCCTGGGGTGGGACAATACACGGATCTAGGATACAACATGATAATGTTACATATCTAGATGCATGCTACATGATACAATACAGATCTTGATAATATGATTAATTAGAAAATGCAGCCAATTAAAAAAAACTTAATATCTTATTTCATATTTTTTACTTTAAATGGACAAATTTTTCTATATCAAATCATGGGCTTTGAAATCAATATTTGATGTTCATAAATTTTTTTGACTAGAAATTTACAAAAACAATATAAATTGTACATATTGCCAAACGTCTATACACAAGTTGATTAAAATAGTAGTGTAGTTTATCAAGAACACTTACTAAAGATTCATTCTTAAAAAGTCATGTACATTGATATTGATTAATGAAAGTCTGTAACCAAGTTGAGTTTACAGAAAAAAAATTTCAAAAGGTTGTTTGTGAAATGTTTCAAACCAATATTTAAATACATGTATTGTAAACCGTATCTTAGAAAATAGTATGTATCAGTGTATCGTCCCACCCCTAGTAGTGAAAAATGAATTTCATAATTTCACCATAATCATTATTTACTCATCATCATCTTTTATAAGGTCAGATCTTAAATTAACCAATGCAGCACAAACAATCAAGTATTTACTAAGTTTCTTCACCGACGTAACTGGAACAATCTGACTCAATATGCGGAACACCTTTAATCGTCTAATAGCCCGTTCAACGTGAATCCGTACCGTGGCAATTCTTCTGGTCTCTGTAACATCCTCTTCTGAAAGTTGGTCTTTACCTTTTGTAAAAGCTGGAATGTTAAGTTTCACTTTCAGAGGAAAGAGTAGGTCATCGATGGTAAAACCTCGATCGGCCATGATTTCATCCCCAGGAAGAAGGTAATTCAAAATCCCAGATTCTTCCACAATTGCTTTATCACTAGACCTTCCTCCAAAGCCCTTAGATATAAACATAATCTGACCATGTGGTGCAATACCAACCAAATACTTCCCTGTGTTGTTGGACTTGTAGTGACTGTATGTTTCTCCTCTGGTCTTCAAGTTTTTTGCTCGTTGAATAAAAGTTTCTGCACAATCAATGATAACTGTAGTTTTGGGAAAGTTCTCACAAAAAGACTTTGGCATGGTTGCTCTAATTGTTTCACGTGGAAGCCAAACTATTAAGTTTTTTAGTTTTGAAGCCATAAAAGAGAGTCTTTGATTAAAAATATTGCATGCATGAGACTCAGATATACCAAATCTGTTGGCAATATCTGCGAACAGTAAATTAAGTCTTAATTTAATAAGAACTAGTAAGACTTGATCTGACACAGGCATAGTAAATGTCAGTGGGTTGTTCAAACTTTCCATAACACGCAAAAGAGTTCTAAAAGTCTTTAATGGCAGTCCTGTGTAAAGTAAGGCTAAGGAGTTAGTTGTTATGTCAGCAGCACTGAGACGTACGTGTAAGGTGTTGCAGTTTACACCTTTTTCCTCCATCTTGATGACTCTTGTTTGTGTACCTGAATTCCTGGATCCTGCAAGGAATGGTCTTGCATATTCATGTTCACACAGTGTGAGATCCGTCCACTGTGTGCCTGCAGATCTGCTTTCTGTCATGCTCGTCTGCACAGAAGAAGATGTCATGTTTGGTTCAGTCTGAATGTTGAGGGTTTCAACTTCATCTGCAGCAGTAGCAGCCAGTTTTTGTTGTTTTATAACTTCTGCCCTGCAAAAAGATTTACAGTATAATACAAGAATTGACAAACATGAAAGCAAAATCATAAATTTCAAGTTCTATTAATAGATAGTAATTCAATTTTAGTTGTAACATGTCATTTGATTGGTAAAACGGTTTTATCCATTTTGTATAACATAACTTGCCTACGTCACAATGAGTTACGTCAAAATTGTATTACTCCACTTGACGTTAACGTTTAAAATATGCGATATTTGAAGCCTTTTACCAAAGGAAAATATGGAAAAATTGTCTCATTGTCTTCATTGAAACTAAATTAAAAGGTATGAAGCTTATTCCAACTTATGTTATACGATATAACATAATTTGGGGCAGTTTATAAAAGCGTAAACTGCCCAAAGTTATGTTATATCGTATAACGTAAGTTGAAATAAGCTTCATTCCTTAAATAGAGTTGTAACAATACAGGTATATTGACTGTAATGATCCTGAGTTTCAACAATACGCATATCGTACAAATCATCTTTTCAGAAAGTGATAGCAAAAATTTCCTTTACAATAAAAGTTAAAAAAAACAAAACAAGATGGCGCTCGAAAATGACCATTATGACCATTCTCATAGAGTATCTCCACATATTATACGGGGTAACTTTCACACTAACTTATTTAAATTTGGAAGTGGGGAGGGGGACTGATCTGTTGCTGTCAGGTATTTCTAAAAATAATATCAAAATAATATCTAATTATTTTCAGTGGCAGCAATACAAAATATATATTTATCTCTGCTCTTTCATTATCTGGAGTCTCACACATACCCATCCATCTTTTGTTCTGCAACAAACTTCCTTTTCAAAAGTCGACGACCAACTTTTATGGGAGCTTCATAACCTGTAAAAAATTTCTATAAATTATTGATACTTATAAAAAAATTCATCTTTGATGTATCCCCTCCTCCCAGCAAGAAACTTTTAAATAAATTCTTTATACTTTTAGTTGAGTTTTGGTGCATTTTTCACACAATTTTCCACATTAAATAGACAAAATCTAGCAGCATTAACCGTAACTTGTAGATCACTGAACAGATGAATAAAGGAGGTATGGTTGTATCAAACAACCACATTACCACTCTAAGGATCTTGTGCATAAACATAAATTGTGCAAACTATATAGTAAGTTACCATTTTTTCTTGAAACCCACATACAGTTCTCTTTAAAAATTTAATACTGTAGTGTGCATATTATAACCCGAGAAAATATAAGGCATGTAAACTATATGCTATAGATTATATTTTGTGCTTGCATTTACAAATTATTTCAAAACGTGGTAAGACACAGTAAATTAATAGTATGCCTTGTTTGTGAACGCGTCGTTGCAAGCATCGTTCTACTTTCACTTTACATCAATGTCAAATCTATTTTTAAACATTATGTATGCAGAGTTTTTATGTCATAAACAAACCTAAATTCAGACTGGGTATGGGATTTCTTGCAGTTGGTCGCCCATCTATAAAATGTGTTGAACACACAAACACATTCTTCGGCAAATCATTGCGATGCAGTGCTCGTTGCCATCGAAGTTTTTCGGGCTCCGCTTTAGGCATCTTGTGAAGGCTGTATGGAACAATGCACGGACAATCTTTGTGGAGAATGTCACCGTGAACTTTGCAGATAGAATGCTTCCACAAATAAATTTTTTTTCTGTTGTTAAAACAGTTAAATACCGCACATGATTCGCCCCCTCCATCTTTATACATCTTTCACGGCTCACGGGTTTCACGGTTGTAATGGCGGATGCATCACGTGACATGTGATGGCTACGCTCTGTAACTATGACGTAATTGCGGGAAAAAGTTGTGTATACATCCAGAGTTTAAGAATACGATTTTTAAAAAATTGAAAATTCGTGAATGCTATTTATCATTAACCAGTATCTCGACGATAAAACATCAAATTTAATTCTTTACCAAACGTCCTCCCGGTCAGTCATTGTTAGTGTTGGTGATATGAAATATAGAGAAATAAATTGTTTGAGGACGTCTTGTTTTCTCTTCTCCCATTGGTAACGCGTAGTAAAAAGTTTTTAAACAAAGCAAACGGCATTTTACAAAAAGGAAAACGAGAAGAAAAAAACCGTGTCTATTTAGATTAAAAACACAACGCATCAATTTGTATTTGATTAATCCACATACGTTTTTCCCTTCTCCCAGGCATTTCGACTATACAGAAAAAAAGGATCAGCAAATCCTTTGGTAATATTAAAAGAAAAAGGTGTTGTACCTTCAAAAGACACTATATCCCACAGGCCTTTAGATCGCTTTGAAAAAAAAAATTGTGTGTATTTTTTTCCAACACCTCAATTTTTTTTTTCTAAGCGATCTAAAGGCTTGTGCTATATCCGAACAGTTATTACAGAGACTACCAAATATATCACGGCGTCCCTGGAAGAATTATTTTTAAATATTTCAATAAATTCTAATTTAGTTCAAAGAAAGCCACGCTGTTGTATACAAACATTCCAAAAATAATCTTTCATGTTTCATGGTTCGACACATGGTTAAATTTCCTTTCATCACTATAATTCTCATCGCTATAATCCCCCCCCCCCTTTAACATGTTTAAAATGAATATACAATGTCTTCCTTCTGCATGAGCCGAGAATGTTAGTTGGTTGATTTGTTTTTGTACATGCGTATATACATGTAGATTAAAACTGGTGTTGAATTCCGAAAGAAAGTCATGTAAACCTATAGGGTTTAGCAGAGACATATTGTGTGAACATTTTAAACTTAGACAATATTAATAACATAATCATTTTTAGTTTTTAGCAGTTAAAATGAAATGAGATAAAGGTTTATTAAATCAGAATGTATATTATTAGTGACGCAAATTCGGTGACTTTATAATTGTAAAGAGGACTTCATTTTGTTAACAATTATTATCTTGTCAAAACAAATTGGATTTTGGTGTTATTCAAATACACTATAATTTGTTAGATCATTTTGTAATGAAATTGATCCGAATAGACCAATCAAGCCCATCGATAGTAAGTAATAAAATTTGAACGGAAATACAATGGTATTATTAAGAGTTTTGACTAAGAGCAATAAAATTGGGAACTTTGAAGTAAGTAAGTAAAAGAGCTTAAGGCTAGAACTCCTGTGGTGCAGAGATTGGGACTGAGCCCATAAATATTAGTAATGAGTGTTTACCTGTATTCGAGGGTGGTGCAATGTTGGGGTTCATAGGTCAACGGACAGATCTACGGACAAAGCGTAGGTGGTTACAGATGGTGAATTAGCCAATGAAATACATTTTTATATCTGGCACCATGGATACCTACTGAGCACAAAATACCCTGTTTAAGTCAGAAAAGAGTATTCCTGCTCTTATTTTATTCCCGTTTTAATTCCCGCTTTAATTCCTGGCTTTCTTCTTAGACTATAACATCTCTTTGGCATTTTAATATTTTGGGAATCATTCTTTTGGACTTTTATCTATTTATTATTTGGAGTTCAGTCTTAAATTCTTTTTATATTGGACGGATCCTTTGAACAGTTGTATAAAAAGTGTATTGGTCTATTCTGAACATATTTCAGATTAATTCTAAAAAACTATACGATCACGAAGAAAATTATAAATTGGATTTCTTTAATAAACTTTTGAAAACGCAGACAAGTTTTCATCATTGGCTTACATCCCATAAGTCAATTTGGTGCTCGTTGACCAGGATTTGCGAAGTACAATTAAGTTTAACGTTTGTGATCAAGGCTGAAAAAGGACTGTGAATATAATTAATGCTCGGAACCAGGAATAACGAAATTATTCATGGTCATATTGATATCAATGACCAAGGCAATGCGAAGTATAACTAAAATGTCAAACGCGGAGGGAAAATGTGGCAAGGTAGAACGTAAATTTCTGACCCAGAAGTATCTGTAGCCTGAATAAATTTTGATTTTTTAATAAGATTTTTTGGAACAATTTTTGGGTTATTGTTTCGGTTTGTTTTAAAGGATATTTATAATTTATTCAGGAAAAGTTTCAAAAATGAAGAAAACATCTGAAATTTTATGTAAAGTAAAAAAAACTTTATATTATAGTATTGATTCATTGTTACAAAGAATAAAAAGTAAATCAAACTGGAAAAAAAACATCTTGACCGTGAATTTCTACACAAGGAATGAATTTAATAATTTTGTATATATGCAGTGATGATAGTTCGCTTGTAATCAATGTTGTTTAAGAAAAAGAGAAATTATTAAGCAATATCTTTTAATGAACAGGCAAGAGAAAATGGTAATGAAGTTCACGTCAGATTTATTGTCACATTTGTTTAACATTGAATTTGAAAATTGACTAGATTTGTTTTGAAGTTTTGTGATCTCGAGAAAAGTGCAACACTTAATCAACAATACGTTGGAATTTATCGTGGACTAAATTTGAGGCATTTATTTTTAAATATGGCGTTGGTCTGATACCAAGGACGGTGGTTACGTCTGACCCAGTGTTAATGGGCCGTCATAAGTGTTTGAACTAATCCTAAGTTAAATTCGCTGTGAGGATGCGATTGTGAAAAGGATAGTACCGTGTTTATGTTTTGAGTATACCGACTGTGGATATCACAAGAAGTCGTGAAAATGAGGAATACGATAGGTGATAGCAGTCATTTGGAGATGCTTACAGATGAAGAAAACGTTGGAAACTAATGATATTTAATGATTTGTGTTGTATTTTTGAACGGATATACCAAGATTTAAGAAGTCAATTACAAATTCCTACGTTGGAAAACAAAAACTATCTTATTCAGACATAACGATTCAAATCTAAAATTTAAAGTTCGAGATACAATGATGGCTTCTAATTTGAAGGACGATATGCTACCGTCTGGAGTGGTGATAATTGCACTCCGTCATCTACTAAATCACCAGGACTGTATCCGCTGCGTGAACTTCAAAACTAACACGGAGACCTATGTTTCTTCTATTAGTGTGGAATATAACTTAAGTTTGATCTATACCTAAGAGTGGAATGAGAACATTGATTCCAAAGCGAACAAGTTTAGTGAGGAGTAGTGAAGGTTCCAGTAGTGAACGGTAGTAAAACCATATATTTACGTAGAGTTGTTAGGTGGACATATATTGGACACATATAATGGACCTATATAATCAATGTAACCGTAACTTAATTTCGGGAACAAGAAGAAGACGTCCGCGAACTTCCTATGTTGTGCGACTACCGTATGCAATTAACAATAAAGAAATCGTGACTAAATTATCTTCGAGGACTGTGGATTTTGTTTTATAAAAAGTAAACAATGCTGCGGGATTATTCTTACCTTGTGAACGAAATAAACGGTGACTAAGTTTAAAATTATGTTCTGGATCTAGCGGAGAAATTTCCAGTGTACAGGGAAATTTAGTGTGTTTAGACAAGTTTTCATCATTGGCTTACAGTCACGACTTATTTTTTTATGTAAACCAATAATCATTCTATGCCCCGCCATGAATATGGCTTGGGATATAATGTTTGTCATGTCGGACGTCTTCCATCCTGCCTTATCTCCTTCCGTCACACTTTGCCTTTAGCTAAGTTCAAAGCTCAGTTTCAAACAAACTAACCAAGATATTTTTATAAATAATTAAACTTCATACACAGTATAGCTACAGAAAAAAAAAATGACAGGAGAGTTGTACTGAGCCACCCACTTAAAAAAACGGTCCTACTAAACAGAGTACGCAGGTACATATGTACGATAGAAGACTTTAGAGTAAGCTACTAATAACTGTATATTTATTGCGGAAAAGTTTTTGAAATATTTCTTCAAACTGAAAGCCTTTTATTGCCTGACGTCACGCTAAGGATCAATAGGGTTCGAAGAGGTCACAGTAAGCCAGCAAAATTTTATGCATGCTGATTATCATCGGATTTGTTACATGCATTTCAGCAACAACAGTTATCTATTCTGTTAGCAGAAAAATAAACTTATTGCTAATACAATACATTGTAGTACATGTATTTATTTTCTCTAGCCTTTTTCAAGCATATATTAATTTCATGCGGTCGAGTTCTTATACGGATATATGTCCGTTTTACCTTTTTTCTGCGTTTCTATACTACTGGATTAGTCCATTTGTCCTCTAAGTAAGGGGTGACGCTATTATTTCGCGCCAAAATGTCACGTGTAGGTTTTTGCACCCTTTTTCTGGACTATTCTATTGAATGAAAACTGCATGAATTATGTCTGTTCTTTTTTCCTGGTCGAACTTTGGAAAAAAAAAAAAACAAACAAACAATTCGGTGACATTGTGAAGTGAGTTAGAAGTTACATCATTTAAAATAATAAAACATTTGATGTTGATCCCTCATCTCTGGGAAAAACTTCCTGAATCCGCACCATGGCCTTCATATATCGCCGTCAAGTTTGTTGGGTCATTTAAAGCTTTAATTTTTTTCCCCACGTTTCCAACAATCTTTGATACTTTGGCATACCCAAGAAACTATCAATCATATTCTACATGTACACGTCAGTCATAATTGTTAGATCCCCAGTTTCTTGTAGTTATCATATTTTCAGCTGCCACCTTTATATGTAGCCATGCTTCAAGCATAAATCAAATGTTTTTCCTTATTTACGTCATCCTCTAAAACCATTTTAGACTTGCGGACAGGGATGTTCATCTTTTCGTCCCGGGTTCGAATCTACAGCGGGACATGATCATGATTTCATTTTTTATTTGAGATACAAACAGTATTATATGTGGTTTATGTTTTGTGCAACATCTCCATAAATTACTCCAGTGAAATAATTTAACCC